TTTGGTTGCAGGCCATCTCATTGGTCTTCACGTGCACAGAGAGGCGGTGCCACATGTGCTGTCCCTTGGGCACCTGTCTTCCACCTGGTTCAGACCATGACACAGACTTGCCATTAGAACTATGAATAAAATAGAGATGGGTTTATTTGCTGATGGATTATTCACAGAGAATAAAATACATATAATTCCTACGCATACCCAGCTCAATGTGATGTAATTGTACCCTCCTCTCTAGGTCCTCCCTCCACACCCAGCCTCCCTTCAGTATAAATCCAACACCAAGAGCAGCATTTACGCATGCCTCTGAGCTGCAAGCCGGACATGTGCTCCACTCCAAGAAAAGAAATTCTGACCCTGGGCAACATTGTTCCGGAGAAAAGCTAAACTGTGGAGGGGTGTCTATCTGTCTGTCTCTTTCTCTCTTTCTCTCTCTGTCTTTCACATACACAAACACACACACATCCGCATGCTTGCGCGCGCGCACACACACACTTCTCAAAGGCAATAATGAAACAATTATTCAATGCAAACCTTTGAAAGATTCCCAAACTGATGAAGGAAAAAAAAATATTTAAATCTTAGTTACACTTGGGTGACAGAATGTGATGACTACAATTTGTGAGACAAATTAAGACTCATATATAAGTCTAATCCCATGGCCTGTGGAATTATGAAATAGAACTTCTCAGATGCCCATTCTGCTATGAAGTTATTTCCTATTACCAGAGGGGCACGTGGTACCTGGATGAAAGAGGAAAGTGTAGATGGCAGAAAAACTCACATCCATGATTGACCGATGTGTTCCATACCTTTCCATTTTCTTTTTTATTTCAAAACATTATTCCCGACAAATACAACAGAAAACAATTCCTTTAAAGGTCTTGAATCACAGCAGCTAGTTTGGGATTTTTCACACTGGAATTTTCAACTAGTTGTGTTTGAAAAGAACGATGAAGAAGCCTAAGAAAATACTGATGCTCATATTTCGCTTTAGCCATCCACCATAATTTGCTGCAAATGAGACAAAATTAGGATTCAGACAAACTGGCAGTTACTGAGACACAGGCCCCTGCCTGGATTTTTCCTCCCTGTGCCTGGCAAATTATCAAGTTTCATCTTGATGGAACCCTCATGAAACCAACCAAATATAAAACCTTTCTGAAGAAGAAGAAAAAATGAATAAACTTGCTGTATGTATAAACCACAAATTCTACCCTGTATATTGCAGTATGGTCTTGCTTTTGGACTTGGTTTATTTTCTGTGTAACTTTAAGCAGATGGCCGTACCTTACCATAGCATCCTATTAATAACATCAGTGTTAATAATTAAAAGAAGTAAGTCATTTTTTCTTCTGTTTTTTTAAGGGTTTACTTTTTTTCTTTGTACCCATTAAAGCAACAAGTAGCACAATAAGAACACATTTGAGGGCCTGGGGCTGGGGCTCAGTGGCAGAGTGCTTGCCTTGCATGTGTGAGGCACTGGGTTTGATTATCAGCACAACATATAGATAAATAAAATAAAGGTCCATTGACAACTAAAAAATATTTTAAAAAATTCAGAACACATTTGTGACATTGAAAAGACTGTGAACACTTTTTCCCTTAGGTTGGGATTTGAAATTGAGGATTCTGTATCATAGTTTTTTTTGTTTGAAAGCTATGTGGGAAATGATAAATAATTACCATAATGGTTTATTTAATAATTTTGATTCTATAAATATGAATCACATTAAAAATTTTATGTGATTTTCACATTTATGTGGATGATAACATTTCATATTATAATCCTGAAAGGTGAAGTGAGCCAAATAAGTACAAATGAGTGTACAAAGTCTGATATTGATTATAAATAGTGCTGTTTACAAAAGGCTCTATAATACACACACACACACACACACACACACATGCATGTATATATACGTATATATGCTATATAAAACAGAAATAACAGCTAAAAATTTTGACTTTATAACTTTGGGGAAAAGATAGTTCTCCCATATATCTGAAGCATTTTTAATTGTCTGAGAAAATTTTTATTTCTAAACTATTATATCAAAACAAAGGCCATGGCACATTCCTATAATCCCATCGGCTTGGAAGGCTAAGGTAGGAGGATGGAGAGTTTAAAGCCAGCTTCAGCAACTTAGCGAGGTCCTAAGCAACTTAGCAAGCCCCTATCTATAAATAAAACATAAAAAAAGGGTTGGGGATGTGGCTCAATCGTTAAGCACTCCTGGGTTCAATCCCTGTACCCAAAACAACAACAATAACAAAATGAATATCTCTCTCTAATATGCGCTTGATATATTATCAGAGAATTTGTGTTTGTAGATGCTAAGTTTATAAACTTCTTCTCTATATTGTTAGGATAGCTGACCAGCTTCTGAGATGAGGAAGCTCAAGTACAAGATGGTGGTGTCCCTGGCAAGTACACAGCTAACCAGCCAGCCCAAGACAAAACCAGAAAACACAGTTCCTCTTCTGAGTATAAAACTCTAGATGAACATGCCTCCTCATTTCATTGTCTGCTCCACCACTCTATACACACTGTTTTTCTCTATATATTTGATATAGCTCTTCAAGAACACAAAATACTGCTATCTGAACCTTATCCTCCTTAATTATGCCTTATTAACCCTTCTACTTTAGTGATTTTCACTGCTTTCAATTGCAAAGGAAAAACTTTTTTTCTTTCCCCAATATCTTCCCCTCGTTACTCACTTTAATAAAATCATTAAACTAAAATTCTATTTGTGTTTTCACTTAATTATGGGCATGTGTGTGAGAAAGAAAGAGAGAAAGAAAGGAAGGAAGGAAGGAAGGAAGGAAGGAAGGAAAGGATTCCTTGAGAGCTGGTCTGCACCTAGTTCAACCCTCAGGCTTAGGACCCAATGAAACATTGCCCCAGTCGCTCCATATATTAGCAAAAAAAGGGTCTTCTAGTATATTTCTGGGAAAACCTTAGGTGACTCCACTCACTTTAACCACTCACTCACATGGGCCATTTTCCATATTGTGCAGGGGTTCCATGTGGAGCTCTTTTTAAATCACACACGTCCATATGTTAACAGTATTATTAATGATTTTGCAGGCAGATAAAACCACAATTTAGTTCTGTTTTGATGGAACCCAATTTTTATTCTTGTGAAGGGAAATTTTCACCGTGGCTGTCAAAATTAGCAGCTTTTCTTTCCCCTCAGAGTCTTGCTCTAATTTTGCTGTAAAGTCCTGTTTAATTAGGAAACAGATCTCATGCCCCAGGGCATTTATCAGATTACAAAAATTAGACTAACCTTGTTTTTCTTCAAGGACAAAATAAATTGCTTCTTAAAAACCCAAGTTAGTAGATGAAATGCATCATCTCAGAAACTGTAGCTCAGTCTATAGAATCTGGCCCTTTAGAATTACCCATTTCTCACTGGTGGTCCACGGACAAGCTGAATGGTCTATGAATCCACACATGCATTAAGCATTGTTTTTAGAAAAAATATATATTATGTCTTTGTAAATAATACACTGCTATTTTTAAATGCATGTGTAATCTTTAACCATAAAGTGTAAATAAACACTGGGAAGCTTTGTTGTGTTCTGTATTCAAACAACCTCTAATAAAGGTAGTTACTATCATTAATTGAGGTAAAGTTTTAATAGCTATGTTGATGTGAGAAGAAAATATTCTATTTGGAAAGGTTGGGAACCTATTTCTGTGATGTTAAGAAGAAAATAATGCATGAAATATGTGGCACCAAAAGGAAATGAATGCATTTTTAAAAATGCAAGAATACAATGAAATAAGACTTCTATTTCATTCCAGGGAATCCTAATATATTCTCCTTTGGCCACTAGCTTACTCCTTGTATTGTTTAATTTTATTTGTTTCCTAATCTTAAGAAAAGCAGTCTGGTTTAGTAAACACCACATAATTGTCACAAAATACCATATCCTCTTGCTTTAACTTCAAAAGACAGAACTCGGGCCTAACAAAATCTCCTATTTGAAGATCAAATGTAGTACTTTGAGGTAAATACCTCAGGTGGTTAAATATATTTACTGATATTAGAGTTAATGGAGGAAAAGGCTGTAGGCTTAGAGGAAGCAGGGTTGATGCACGGTTATCACTTGCAGAGCTAAGCAGGCCTGGGGCTGTAGTTCCAGCTACAAACAGGAACAGGATTTTGCTTTGATTTTTCTTTCATTAGATAAGTATCACAATCCCCCCAACACAAAACCCAATATTTACAGCACTTTAGAGAAGAGTTGGGAGTGGGTGGTGTAAACAGATTAGTATATCTTTGGCATTCAGAGTGATCCTGTCTGTTTTTATTTGTTTCAGTAAGTACTAGTTACATCTGCAGAGTACACTGCTTTCTGCTCCAGAGAGGTCTAAAATGGGAATAACAGTGGGTGGGTGTTTCAGATCAGGAGGGAGGCATCCTGCAGAAGCTGCCTGAAGGGAAGGCTTACACAACACCTGTCTCCTTATGTCCAACTTAAGTCTCTGCCATTAGCCTTAACAGCTTCACAACAGATGTAAGGACAGTACCCAAAAAGCCCATGGACAAGGCAAGACTTTCCCATAAAGGAGGGAGACTGACTTCTTGGAATCAGAGGAGTTTAATTTTGCTTTCTCTGGAAGTGAAAGGCGTGGTGCTACCTCTGCTGAAACACAGTGTGGCAGAAGGGGTTGTCCGAATACTCTCGCCTTCAGGGGCATCAGTGAGCAGGTACTACCAGTTTAGAAGGTGACTCCTGTAGATTCTCAGGCCTAGGAACTTTTTGAAACCACTTGAGGCAAACTTCTGTTTTCTAAGACAATCCCAAGGGAGTCTGCCATACAAAGGACTTCAACTGACTTCAGTTCTACTTCTTGAAAGATTTCCAGAAAAATCTGCATATTTAGTATATATTCTACAACCTGGGGCCTATCTGAACATAATTAAAATTTCTCGCTTTTTGACTCACCACTAGTTGTAATGTGGAGAATCTCTAAGTGTGCTTTTGAAGAGAAATGTTTTCTAATTATATGAGATCTTGGTAGTTTCTGTTGTTATTAAATCTTAAATAACATTGTGAGTCCCCCAGAGAGACTACCTCATCAGAAGCAATTCAGAGAACCACTGTCTTACTGAAATTCACAATATTATATAGTATAAATATTCAGCCTCCCTTTAGAATCTTCAGAACGTCTCCATCCTACATCCTTAAGCAACATGATATGGGTCAAAAGACAACCCGAAGAAAACCACTTTGACTTTATTAGGCTTTGTGCTTTCTTCGATGAACCAATAAAGAAAAAGACATGTACTGATTAAATTATCTCATTGAAGTTAGTGAACTATAGAAGTTTCCCAAATGTCTTATGGGTATAGGACCTACTGTCCTGAGAAAAGTGCCCAATCAGTTTCAAACTAAAGGGTAGAATTCTGATGGCTACTACATGGTCTTAGTTCAATGTAATCATGATTTATTGACTGATAAAAGAAATTCTGAAGTTTATTTAAGACATCCTCTTGGTACCAGAGCATCCTTTCAGCACAGGTAGATCAGATGAAATTATTCCTTTAGGAAATATAGATAAGCCTGGATTATGTTCCCCTTGAAGGACTTTCAGGTCAAACATTACCATTTACTTTATGCTCCAAGCTACCAGATCTATCATTTTAATTGCAAGATGCACTTCAGCCCCACATGAAGGCCTCACATTTGCCCTGGAAATATAGGGCAGTTGCATTGCTCTGCTGGGATTATTCCTCAGGGCCAGGATAGACCTCAACAGACCGTAATGATCCTGATCTATTTTATTTCCACAAGTCCCTTTGCCCTGCTATTCACAAATCAGTGGGAATGAAGGTCAAGGAAAGAACATATCTTTTTTTTTTTTTTTTTAATTCTGTAGGAACAACCAAAGCTAAACATCATTTTTAGTCTGCAGTCCATGGTTTCAAAGCCACTGATCTCTTCCTGATCTTTTCCAGTCTCGGGCAGGAAAGCTGAATACAACACATTCTGAAAGTTCTTCAAGACAACCTGTTGGTTGTGCTGACAGTTGTATTTTTTTTTTTTTGACTGCCCACCAAGGATGGACTGTGTTGGACTTTAACTTTTACTTCTAGACACTCACCTTTAAATCTTGAAATGTCGGTTGATTCTCCTCTCTTTCTCTGGCCCTGCTGTCATAACAGGACAAGCACATCTACCCATCCTCATCAATTCTTTTTGACAGGCAGCCAGCAGCTGTCACAATTAGGATCTCCTTGCTGTGTCCTTGGTCAGACTCACCCCTGGTACAGAACCCCTCAATGCTTTTGGACTTGGGAGAATTACAGAGAATGCACCCAGCCCTGCTCGAGTGGCTCTGGCCTAGATGTGCAGAGTCCTCCTATCACGGCCTGAAACATACTGGCATGACTACCATATTTGTCCCTCTAAGAACCAGGATGATTTGGTGGAGATCGCACTCTTTGATTTTAGGCTTTTAAAGGGAAAAACCCAAAGGCAGGCCACGGACTCCCCAGTGTTCTCAACTGTGTGAACAGAAGAGACACCATGGCCCCAATCACCAGCCTCTGTGGCCAGTTTAGTAGCAAACATTTGAACAAATTGGGCTCTTGGCATTGAAGAGCTATTCAGGCCACAGAGACCTCATCAATGGGCCCCCTCCTGCTGCAGGAATGTGTACCTTTGACTCTCCCAGGAGTTTGAAGGGCTGTAAAGGAACAGCTGAAAATGACCACAGACTCCATGCACAATGAATTGAACATGGTCTATGTTCTTTTGTTAACTTAAAGAGACACTGTCAAGATCTAAAGGTCAAAAATTGGACCAGACATGCACTGTTTTTATCAGACAGGAAAATCTGATAAAAATCACTCAGAATGTTGAGGAAATGACTAATTTTTTTTTTCTTAAAAGCTCTTTTTTTTTTTTTTTTTTTTTTGTGGGACTGACAAAACTCTTGTTTTGTGCTCCCTAGAGTGTGGGAGACACCCAGCAGAGGCTCATGCTGGCGCCCACCCCCTCAAACTGACATTATGGAATTCTGCTGTGAATTTAAGCTATGGCTTTTACTTTAATGCAGACAGGATCATTTCAAACATTTGTGCAACAGCAAAAAGGCAAAAAAGAAAAGAAAAGAAAAAGCTCTGTTTGCCAAGGAGAAGCTGACAAATTTCTGAAGGGGGAAAATTCACTTTCAAGCTTGTGAGTGGGAGTCACAAACAAAAGTGAATCTCCAGAATTGAAAAAAAATGTTGCATTGAAATAAAAAAAAAAAAAGCGAGAAGCAAAAAACTCTGCTAACAACTTGACAGTGTCCTTTTAAGAACGATGGACAATCAAATTAAGGCAGTCGTGCAAACCATGGCACGTACATGAGTTCCTCATTCTTGATGGCATGCACCACATCTGTTTCCATGTTAGAAAGTGGAAAAACCCAGGAGAGAGAAAGCAAGAGGCAAAACACTATATTTTCCATGCAGCTTCTCTTACACATTCACTGCAGTGTGGGGGTTTTCAAAGCTGCACATGTGCCGACGGACATTGGCTGGTGGGCGAGAATTCTGGCTGCCTCTTCCTAAAGATTAAAAAGAAAAAGACACCCAGTGAGCAAGTGGTTATACATGGGTACAGGTATGGTGAGCACAGCACTCAGGCAGTGCCTAGTCCTTGGCCAGGTTTGGGCCTGGCTCCTGCCTTTCTCCTGGTCACCTCTGTCTCCGGGTCCTGTATGCATCCTGCGCTACCTGCCTATTTCTATGTCTAGGCTCATTTCTGAAAGCCATGTCAGCGATGTGCATTAATTCTTTTCCCTGTGAAACCATCCCTTTCCAAGTGGCAGATGCTTTCTCTGCTGTGTGTATCTGTCTCAGATTGACTGTTTTCCTTCACTGTTTGACACGCTCCTTATTCTTCTTTGCAGTGGACTCTACACCTCTGTTCTGATATAGGCTGAATCTTCCCACCCACAACCCCTCTTAAAGGAAGTTTATAAATTTATATCTGACATTGCAACTTTTAATTGCACTGCTGATTTTTTTCCCATATTGTTTCATCATAGAAGTATGGCTGTCACTTCATATAAAGTCACTCTTGGCATTCACAAGATGAAATGTGTTTAATGGTACAGGGGTGGAGAGCAGCCAGAGACCTGCCTGCTGAGATTGGAGGAGATACGACAAGGGGAACATGTCATTCCCTTGCCTGGATAGACATGGCGAGGCTGATGGGGAGCCATGAAGTTGGCCTTTACATCACTGGTTGGAATAAGGATAAATGGTTTTCCCCTGTGTCCAGCAGCATTTCAGAAAATGGTGGGATAAAGCTATTTTTGCAGCCAGGCCACATAAGAGGAGTGCTTGTCATAGGAAAGTATTTCAAGAATGAAGTGCTAAGCATGAACCATCAGTACATGCTGTGGGTGATAGGGTTGAGGTTGATTGAGTTTTCAGGAAATTTCCCATGTTAGGAAATTGCATCATCACAGTTTCCTATAGGGCTCCCCAAAGAACTTACAAATGTTCTCTATGAATCAGCGTTTGGCCATCTGCCCTCAAGGACCCTGGCAATAGTTCTCTAGTGGCAGCTCCCAGCAAGTCAAAGACCTTTTCCCTCTCTCCTCTCTCTTTTACCCATCTACGTAGACAGAGGAATGGAAACTCAGAAGAAGGAGGAGGCAATGTTGCAGGATGAGACCATGCCCTTCCCACGCCAAGTCTTTCAGGTTGAGGTCTCACAGATATTAGAAAGGAGAGGTAGGAATTTAAATTTCAAACAATAATATGCTGAAATAGCTTTTCATTACCTAGAAGTAAGGGATCTGATCTGAATTTATAAAATGAGGATTTTTCCCATAGTACAGGGGAATATAACATGTAAACAAAATTGATCAATATTTGTATTTCCTTTGAGTTTGAGTTATTCAATAAAACTTTTTAAAGGCACATGATAATATACCCAAAACAATTTGAAATCTTATCCAGAAATAAGAAGTTGAGAGGTTACCTGGTGTAACTTCATTGCTGCTGCAATGATACATCTATTTTAGAAAATTAGACAAAGAGACAATGTTTGCTATGTAACTTGCCAAAGTAATATATCCCTGACATTCAATTTGCCCACCTGAAATCACAAGTATCATTAAAACAATGAAGAGATGATAAGGAATAAAAGAATATTTGAATATATAAATGAGGTTAGTAGAAAAGAGGTTTAATCTGTAAAATATTGAAACAGTTCCTCATGAAAGAGAAAAAAAAAAAAACCTTACTCAAAGCATTTGGCTCTGTCTTGCCAAAGTGCTTGCATCTTTTTGCACTTTCTAATTCATTCTGTTTTGGGATAATGTCTATAGGTGGCCTGGTCAAATGGTGCAAAGGATCAAGGGCCCTGAAAGGGCTGGCTTCAGGGGTCTATGTTAAGCACAGACAGACACATTGTCCCTTCAACAGCCCTGTGATTGATGTTTAGTGATCTGTGATCATCCTCTTGAAAGTCTATTACTTTTGTCTATTGTAAGTGACAGTGGATGGAAAAATGAAACACGCTCTGGGGACCTGGAAACAGCTCATGGATGGTCCCTCATTCCACAGCCTCCCTAACTTCCCAGGACAGGTCCTGGACTTTTTGTTCCCCTGCCACTGGAGTCCCAGCCTATCCAGCCTCCTCTAGTTGCCCTTGTACAGGGATCATCACCATCCTGGACTGCTTGAGGGGACCTGGGGACAAGCCCCAGGAAGATCAAGATCTGGTAGCATCTTGAGGAGATGAATGACAGTGGCCATCTCTCCCTGGACTTGCAGTGCCAACACATGTTGGCAGGAAACATGCTGTGGTAGAGGCCAGACTCATGCTCATCCTTGATCCAGATGGTTCAGATTTCCCTGTACTTTTTTGCATACCTGTCTAACATGGTCTGGGGCAGGAGGTGTGTGGAAAAGGGAAGCAACTAGTTCAATTGTTCCAGCAGTGACTGACAAGAAGGGTTGTTGGCAGTGCTGTGCCTGTGCAAGGTGCAGAATGGGATCTGCAATGCCTAGAAAGGACTGCTTCTGCCCTGAAAGTGTCCTCGCACAATGAACACAGCATTCAATGGCAAACACAAAACCCCATGACACACACACACAGAGGGTAAGCTCAGATTTTAATGAAAAAAGGCATGATATTATATTACCTTTAACACATTCCCTGCTTTACAGACCAGGGGCCTCATGTTTTCATTTTGCACTGAATCTTGGAAATGATGTAGCTAGTCCTGTCTGCTGGGGCTGTATGATAAGAACAAGGGGGCTGTCCTGACAGTCCAGAGACTTGACCTGCTGACTTCAGCGCAGGGGCAGAGTGCAGCATTCCCTGGGCAGCATCTGCTCATCTGTGTGTCCAGGGGACCGGGACAGGAAGCTTCACCAGCCTCGATTTTAGTTTGCTTTTTGTCACTGGGACCAAAATACACAACAAGAACAACTTAAAGGAGGAAAAATTTATTTGGGGCTCATGGTTTCTGAGCTCTTAGTACATAGAAGGCTGACTCCATTGCTCTGGGCACAAGATAAGGCAGCACACCATGAGGGAAGGGCAGTGGAAGAAAGCTGCTTGGCTCTTGATGGGGTTAGGAAGCAGAGAGGGGGTGGGGAGAGACCAGCAGTGAAGATGCACCCTTCCAGGGCAAGTGCCCCCAGGGATTCCCCCTCCTCCAGCCATGCCCCACCTGCCTACACTTACCACCCAGTCCTTTCAAATTAGGATGGAGGTATTAAGTTACAATTGTCACAATTCAATAATTTTAACTTTGAATTCCTGCAGAAACGAGAACTTTTGGGGGATACCTCCTGTCCAAACCATAACAACCTTTGTCTCTGACGTTGCCTTTTGGAACCATTCCCGCAGTTAGTGACAGTTCTATGATTCCTTTGGGGGCTTTAGCCATATTGACAGCCAAGCTTCACACAGTCACTCTAAGTAATCCCAAAGCTATCTTAATTAACTATTGATTGAGGTAGTTGGATAGAATAGAACATCTTCTTCATGGTCCCATGTCTTTAGTCTCTTTCACTTTGCATTGAAGTGAAATATAAATGAGCCCTGCATACAGATTTTGCTTCTAGAAAAGAAATGGTTTATTAAAGGTTACAGGCAAAGACTTGGAAACTCTGTTGCCCAAATGGCTACTTTTTCAAACTACATAAAAACCAAGAGAAGGAGATTGACTTCAGGGTATTTTTAGCAATTGTAAACCACATATCCAACCAACCACAGATTCAGCAAGCTAGAGAAAAATCTTGGAGGGAAAATGAAGCATATGGGGGCTTGTCAAATATAAGTCCCAAATCTGTGCTTGAATCTTTTGGCAGAACTGGATTTAAAGAAACCTTGTAAGTTTAGCTAGAAAGATTCCTCTTCAATTTCTTCTGAAAGTGCAAGGGTCTTTCTCTCCTCTGTCTCTTCCTCCTTCTCTCCTTTTTTTCTTGATTTTTCTTTCTTTCCTCTTTGTGCAAACTCACTGCTTTTCAAACTCCAAAGGAGTGTACATAGCTTTCCCCATTTATTTTCAGTGTCCAGATAATATTCTTCTGTGTAACAGCAAGTCACTCTCAGGGGTTACTTAGCTCCACATGACTCTGTCTTAACGTATCATTTTGTTTACATCTGGTCATCCCTCCACCAGTTTCTGTGTCAGGAGTCAGTCTTTAAATGGAACTTGAGAAGTGGTTACAGACAAGTTTTATTCAGGGTAGTGTTAGCAACACTCACTGGTCAAGGATCTGGGAACCTGGCTGCCTCCTGTTCTTTCAGACTTGGCCATTCCATCTAAGAAGAACTGCTGGAATAGTCCATTTGAAATTGCTTCCAAGTGGCAACATACTGCTCTAGTTGAGACTCCCACTTTGCATATCTTTCCTCTGAAGGATGTAGAAGCAAAGACACCCACAAAGAACAAAGCAACTTAACCTCAGTGTGGACTCAGATTATGCTAACTCAGCATCTCCAACTTGGCCTTCCCTTTACTCCTCGACTTCAGCCACTTTCCTTACTCAAGACTTTCAGTAACCTCTTGTAGAAAATGAACTGAATTTTGTTTTCTCTTTCTCCCAGAACTTTTTTGTTTCCTGGATGAAATCAGTGACATTGAATGGATATGTCAGGAGCAGGCAAAGGCTCAGAGTGCAGTCAGGATAGCTGTCCCTGTCTGAAGCTGCGAGTCTTTGGCAGGGTTGGAGGTGAATCTTCTTTTAGCAGAGAAAAAATGGTCTAGACAATTCCAGATGGTCAGTCTTAAGGATATATAAAGCTCACCATGGAAATAATAATGTGGCTGCTGTCCAAACTAATCAGAAAGAATGACAGCAACCACTCAAGACTGTTTTAGCAGAGTATGGTCTCTTTTTTGTTGTTATAGATAAATAAGATAATTTGTGCTTCTGACTTCTTTCCAAAGCCAAGTGCATTTTTTCCCTGGTATCTAAATTTTAGTATTTATTCTCAGCATTTGCTCCTCAGAGTGTAGAAGGGAGCTCTGACTGTGTATGCAGACCCTCTAAAAGACTAATTTCTTCCACATTTCCTTTTAACACATGAATC